AAATATATATAAAAAATGTAAAAATTAATATTAATTTTAATATTATTGTCAAGTAAATAAATTTAATAGAAAAAAAAGTCTTTACTTATGCCTTAGGATAAACATTAGATGGTATATCTTTCAATCTAATATATTACAAAACATATTTATTAAAAAATTATTTATTTTTTTATTTAAAATTAGATATACGTAACTTATAAACCATATGTTATATATATGTAAAAATTAATTAAATTAATTATATTTATATTATATTTTAATAACTTAACAACATACTCTAAAAAAAAAAAAATTGAATAACATGGTGCGTTAATAATAAATCTTGTGTCATATAAAATAATAATAATAATAATAATAAATCTTGTGATAATAAATCTGTCCCTAGTTTCAGTCCTGCGAATAACACTGGCTTATCCCCGAGTTCCAAAAAACTAAAATAAAATAAAATAAAATCGCATGTGTGAACTGGGCCATGAACTGCAAAAACAATCTCAGAAGCCCAAGCACCAAAACCCAAAATCACTGAGCACTCCAGGAGCTCGGCTGCAGACAGACTCTTTGATTTGCAGGGAGAAAATGGGGAGGAAGAAGGGAGTCGTGGAGTTCGATGAGACCGCGCCGGACTTCGATCCGGCGGACCCGTACAAGGACCCGGTGGCCATGCTGGAGATGAGGGAGCACATCGTTCGCGAGAAGTGGATCGATATAGAGAAGGCCAAGATCCTTAGAGAGAAAGTCAAGTGGTGCTACCGCGTCGAAGGAGTCAACCACCTCCAGAAATGCCGTCACCTCGTCCGTCAATACCTCGACTCTACCCGCGGCATTGGGTGGGGAAAGGACGGCCGCCATCCCTCCCTCCACGGTCTGGTTTTCTGCACTCCATCCTCTTTCGATTTGCAATTTTCTTTTTCCTTCTGCCCTAAGATTACAGGGAGCATACAAGTTACTTCCTTTTTTTCCTTGACATTCTATATGAGCAGCCCAGCGACTGACATGTTTTCTTCTCTTATTGATTTTCTGAGTTAGGTCCGAAGGTTGAGTCCGTGGAGTCAGAATGATTTCTTCATGGATTATGTGAGGTAATTCAGGCGTTAATTTATTCATTGTTCGATCCATCCAGAAATTCGTTGGCAACTGTCTGTGTTGTTAGTTTGATACTTTTCAATTGAAATTCTGGGGATTTGTAAATCAATCTGACTGATTTAGCTAGGTGTTAACATACTAATGGCAATGACATTTGGCGTTGAATAGATTAGGACACTTCTTAAGTTATGATTCTTAATAAGAGGCAGGAGACAGCTGCTGAAAATTAGGAGTTTTATGAGCAACAATAAAAGGAAAACTTTAATTAGTTTAGAAAAGGTGATTTAGTTTTTGAGGAATGCCATGTGCACTCGGGACCTTATTGGTCCCTCCTTTATTTATTTATTTTGAATTTTTTTTTAAAGGGAAAATGCACTCAGGCCATGATGCTACTTAGAGTGCTTAGTTTAACAGCTAGTATTTCCCTTAGTTTTTATTAGATGTGCTTGGATGTGGAAGAAGCTACTTAGAATTTGACATATTGTTTTATTTACAGTTCTAGCATTACTTATAGCCTTGGTGCTTTATTGTTATAGGGTTATAGCTGAGCTCAAACTGACATGTTATTGTTTTAGCATAACACCTAGCTCAATCAGATCCAATAAACACTGTTTTGGCGCCAGCTAAAACTAATCTACAGTTTTTCAAATGCTATAAGAGTATGGCAAACTGTCATAGTATTTAAGAAACTGTTTCATAAAAAGTACAGTGGTTATGCAGCAGTCAATTTTAACATTTGGCAATCATAATTTGAAATATGTTGTGGAGCTATAACATTACCAACATAGCACACACATATTAAGCATATTACTAGATATTACTGCATGAAAAAAAATGATCAGTTACCACTCAGTAGTTTTTATAAGTTGTTGTTGTTTATGGATAATAGTAAGAGTTAACAACTAGTTTTAAGTCAGGCATAAGGTTAAGATTATTGAAATTGTTGAGGTGTATGTTTGCATTTCCTGAAGTTTAATTAATTTTTTATGAGAACTGTGACAAAAGGCTACAAAGTGGAGCATGTTGCTTTTCAAAGAAAAATGCTGTGGATGACATTCTTTAAGTGAAGACTTTTAAAATTATACCACTTTTATATCCAAAAGCAGTGAAGTGCTGCATTTAAAAGCAGCTTAAAAACTATACCAAATGCACACATGGCATGACTGAAATCTATTGTTGTATTAAGTTTTGAACTTGTTTGTTTATTACAAAATGTACTTTACTTTGACTGCTATCTCAGGATTATCTTGATTCTAAACGGAACATGGAAGTGTACAATTCTTCCTCATTAAAGTTTAATTATTAACATGAATGTTTTGAATGGTAGAGTGCATATTGGTGCCATTTTTGGTGGGCTCTAGGGTGAAAGTGAGAAGATAATAAGATAGCATCAAAGTTAATCTGCCTCATTAATCATTGCTTTTCTGTTCTCCCAAGGTTAAAGGGCAAATAAGTTTCTAATTACCATTTTCAATTTTGTTTCTTTCTAAAGTCCTTAAATAGGTCAAAATATGAATCTCCCTCATTTTCATTCCCCACATTGTTATCCTAATCAAGCTGGTGAAGATTCCCTTTTCCACCAATTCATTTCTATCCTCTCACTTTAATTTCTTTCCTATCGAGTTGCCTCTTTATTTTCAGTTTTCATTTTAGATATTCTGCAAAACATTCTTCAAAACATATGCTTGAAAGATGTTTAATTTTTCTTAGTTCCTGAAAAATGATAAAGCTTTTCATGAGGAAAGTTGATTTTAGATAAAATAAAATGGAGAAAAATTCTTTCATTACATTTGTTGTGCCTTCTTGAATGTTCACATTTATTTGAATGATTTGAATTGGACTCATTTTTTTAGTTGAAACTAAATGTTGACACCTTGTGTTTGTCAATTGCCGTTTCCCACTATTTCGCCTAGTTTATATTGGATATTTTGATCCTTGTTGGAGTAATATAGAGCTAGTGAACCACTGGAATTTTTTTATTCCAATTCTTGTCAATTGTAGAAACTTTGGTTTCAACTTTGATGTAAAAATTCTTCCAAAGAAAAGTTCTTACCAAGAAATAAATAAGTTTAGGCTATGTAGAAAGTCATATGCAGCAAAGAAAAAGTATTGACAAACTTTTTTATAGAATCATAGGGGTTTGATTCAACTATTGATCTTTCCTGGATAAAATTATTCCATCTATTTTTAGTATTTTAGAACATTATCATGCTGCGCATGAATGGATGACTCATGCTTTGTTGTAGATCTTGAAAAGTGTGGTTGAGGGAGATTCCTTTCGATGTAGTCAATCTGAAATTTATTTTTTGCCTATGTTATTGACTTATTGAGATATTTTGTCTAAACTGATCCATTTATTTATTTTGTATTTATCTATTTTCCCATGAAGTGTTGATGATACCTTGCAGATTTATTATAGATAGTTAAAGGAATGATAGGATCATAGGAATGGGATATCTTAATATTTGTCTTAGGAAGATCTCATTTATTCATTCTGATAAGAATTGAATTGATTGATACAGACATCCAGAGCTAGTATAAGGGACAAAAAATTTAGGTTTCCCAAGTAAATATGAAAGGAGATAGAATTTAAATTAATCAATAATAGTAGATGGTATTTTGGTTTCTATTGCTTCATCGGTGGGGTGATGGTGCAATCCCATATTGATATGGTTTTCTATTATCAAGAATGAGACAGGGTTTTACCCCTTTGCTTCAATTTCCTGAATATATCATTGTCTATTCTGTTGTCGTTTTCTATTCATGTTGATTTGACCCTGAGTGGTGTATTTGTGAAAGTGAGAATGTTTTACAGAATTATTATTCAAATAACATGTTTGGTGAAGCTTGTAAGAGTTTCAGCTTTTTGATACTGTTTATGTTTCATAAGTTTAAATTTTCCTTTTAAAAACTTACATTTTTTAACTTCTTTTTAACCTTAAAAAGATCTTAAACAGTATATTTTGAAAAGCTTCAAATTTGTGCTTTTTATAAACTTTCTTTTTACTTACCCTTTTTTTTATTTCTAAAAGCAATTTTTAAATTTCTCTCTAATAAAAATTTAAACTTATCACACATAAACAGTACAAAAAAAATAAAACCTCTTACAAGCTTCACCAAACATGCTCTAAATCTCTATACAAATTGGATATGACTTCTCATGGTGCAAGCTGTAATTTGCTTACAATATGGAATGTAATGCGTTAATCATTCAAGATCATGCAAGAGTTAGAATTAAGGATTATCGTTTTTTTTAACTCAGCAAAAGTAGAATTAATTTGTCTTTCCTTTCCTGCAGATTTTTTATCTTGTGCTGCAGTTGAGGCCTTCAATATCAGATCAGTTTAATTGTATCATGGACAGTTATCTCTTTGTTTTGCTGTTATAACCTGTGCCAGATCTTACTGGTTTTGCCTTTATTGTACTTTGTTTGGTTAGCATGAAAAGATTTGCTATTACATTGACGAGAGTACATCACATAATGTAATAAGAAGCATCACATAAGTGGAGGTTTCTTTTGTTTCTTCATTCTAAAATTAGGTTTGTTTTATTTCATACATTTAATGATAAATTATACAATAATAGAAAATAACCTTCCTCATGTTTCTGTTTTTCACAAGTTCTTTTCCAAGTTTTGGCTAATATTCGAGCAACTTCATGCCTTAATTGATGTATCAGCTGTAGCATATGAGAATTTTAGTTTGCTAGGTTGCCTCTTATTAGTGTTAGAGATATCTTGTGATGTCTTTTTCTTATAATGATATCATATTGATGATAATTTACTCAATTTTTGAATTTGAGACTTTCAACATGGAAATTCAAACTTTAAGTAACAGAGACATCTCTGAAGGAACTTTGGAAACTAAATTCACCCTTCCGAGTGGGCATATCCTTAGCAATTGCTCTGGGGAGGTCCCATTCCCCTATACAATTGCTCTGTGAAGAAGTGTGGCTTCTGGGAGGTTCCAAAAGAAGTAAAGAAAATAGAACCTTGGCAATCCAAGTTTTATTAACGGGATGTTTGCTGCTGATTAGTGATCACAAGTTGAAGCCCTTACTGATAAAATGGTGGGAAGGGTCAGCCTTGCCTTGTCATTCGTAACACGAGTTCTTTGATCACGAAGAAGCACTAGGGTACAAATTAAGCTTCCACCACTGCTTCATCAAGATGCAACCTCCACTTCAAAGCAAGAGAAAATCCTAAGCATGATTATAGTCACAAAACAACAAAGTAAAAATGATTATCAAAAAGGTGATTTAATTGATTAAAAGTTTGAGATTTCAAATATAAGATCTCATATTTAAACCTTAAGTCGGGTAAAGAAAAATTGGAAAAAATAGAAAGGATAATCCTTTTTATATAACCCATTATTAAATACACTAAAAAAAATAAAAAAAAATAAAAAAAAAAAACAAAGTAAAAGGGCGATCAGAGACGTATCAAAGAACAAAACAACAAAACACTTGAAAATAGATGCATATCATGCAAATATATGATCAATCCATGAGCTCCCTTCAGTCCAATAAGTGAGCAAAGCAGCGGGAGGAGTTGCTCCCACACCATACATCTGGCTAAACTTAACATTCATTCGTCTTCCCCTTGCTACATGGACACTCCGCGACTCTAGCTTCAAACGTTAAGCATAGCCGAATGCATGAGGTGGCAGCTCTACCTGCTTCTCAGCCCTCTGTATTGGCCTGAAGGGAGCTCCTTACCTTCTTCACATTTCAACTCTCACTTAACTCTGAAAGGGAAAGGCAATGAGTAGTACCACTACATATACAGTATTCTATGCATTGTGGAATGGTCCTTCCTTCCCGGCCCTCTTAGTTATATAGAACCTACTCTTGCATACCAAGTCAACAGCCTTTAAAGAGAGATGTATAATGGGAATCTTCTCACATCTTTGGGGTTAATGATATGGATTCTCGAGTTTTTGTTGTATTCTAATAATTTATTTTCATCTTGTTACCTTATTTCGTAGTTTACTCTGTCACGTATAATTTTTTATTTACATTAATCGCCCAACACGTTTAATATATTTATTTATATACCTTGGATTGGGGAGTCTATATTAAATCATTTCTTCTTTGAAATACTGCCTTTATATATTTATAGTTGTCACACTTTCCTACAGCATAGTTTAAGAGATTATTATGCTTTGAAATTTTATATTTTACCTGCAGACCAAGAAAAAAAATTTTATATATCCTTAGAGTCTTTTTATTTATTTATTTATTTTTGATACATTAAAAAATTAACTATTTAGTATTATAAAGATGGTTTAAAGCCAATTGTCGTCCCTCTACTTTCATATTTTATTCATTCTTGTCCTTCTACTAAGGATATGTTCGTTGTCGTCCCTCTACTCTACCAAAGACCCAAACGTCATCCCTCTACTTCTCTTTTATTGTTCGTTGTCGTCCTTTCCCTAACCACATTCATGTTGCTGTCACTGCTGACCGTTAAGTCCTAAATGGTCAACAGTTAAACCCATTTGTTCTATTTTTTTTTTCACATATGCTGCCACATGTGATGCCACCTGTGCAAGAATAGGACCACTTTGCCCACTTTGCCTCCCTGCTTACTTAGATCCCATACTTACTTACTTTCTTTCTTTCTTTCTTTCTTTCTTTTTTTTTTTTTTTTGCAGAAATGTCATACTTTTAATTTTTTTTTTTTGTTGCCGGGATGCCAAAAAATAAAAAAAAACATGCGAAAAAAGCAAGACAGACAAACAGGAAAATAAGAAGAAAAGGGGAAGAAAAGGCCGTATACTTTCAATTTTCCCGCTTGGCTATTCATCACATGACTAGTCCATTGGGTAACATATATTGTTTAGCCTTATTTTATCTTTATTACCCAAAACGTGAAAATCTCAAGATACAGAGTACAAGAATACAGGAATCTCTGAAAAGAGGAAGGGAAGGCATTGTGTTTTGAGCAAAATTGCTGAGGCTTTTTAGGAGGTAATGATCAATTAGTAATCTATGAGTAAAGATCGATTAAATATAATGTTATGGTGTTAGTTATTTATTTGGTGTTGTCCCCCACTTTACAGAATGAAATAGATATTATTCTTTTGTTCTTTCCTAATCCGTGTCGTCCCTAATTTTTGCAGGTGGAATGGTTGGTTGGGTTGAATATGGTATATACTTGAATTATGGGGGCAAATTCATTAGAGACCCAACATTTCGGTATGTTGGAGGTAGTTTTCATACTATATGGCTCAAACTTAGTAGTTTTGAACCTCGTATTTTTAGAAAAAAATTACAAGGCTTGCATATTGACATAGATGGCATGATAGATTTTGTGTGATATAAAAATCATGCAAAGAAGCTTGATAATGGCCTTGTGTTAATTGTTTCTAATGATTCAATTGTTGACATGTTTGAACTACTAATTTATCATGGGTATATAGATGTCTACGTTGAACATGAATATGAAATTGACAAACAAGTGACAAAAGGTGGGCCCTTTCATGGGAATAATGGTTCAGTAAATGATGTTTTAATGGTTGGTGAGAGAGTGGCATGTAATGTAAATATGCATACATCTGGGGTTGATTTGGAATGGGAAAATGGTTTTGGTTGTGTTACCCAAGAGATTCAAACACCAATTGTAGGACAAAATACTAGAAATTGTGCACAAGCACAAGGAAGAACCGAAGAAGATGTGAACAGTGGTGATGAGTATATTGATGTTCCTTGGTTAACCGACAATGAGGATGAAGAGTGGCAAGTAGCAAGGACTCAATACAAGGATAATGTTAAGTTATATGGAGATGAGGTTGATATAGATGGGGCTTTATTTGATCCAACTGAAGCATTTGTTGATGGTGGCCTCAGTGACTCAATTGATTCTAATGATGAGGTCAGCTTTGTTACAACTAGTGATAATAGTGAGGCAGAGGAAGCAAGAAGAAGGCAATCACTGCACAAGGTGTTCAATGACTCCACTGTCAATTCAGAGTTTGAAGTAGGAATGATTTTTTTGAGTAGGAAGCAGCTTAAAGATGTTGTTCTAGCACACTTTATTTATTTGAAAAGAGAAACAATCTTGAAGAAGAATGATAAAAAAAGAGTTAGGGCTATATGTGCAGATAATAAGTACAATTGGGCTTTGCTATTGTCTATTGATGGTAGGACAAAAAGTTGGATGATAAAAACTTACAAAGATAAGCTACATGTGGTTTGAGTTGTAATAGTAAGAGGGTTAAATCAAGAATTTTAGCTAGACACTTCATTAAGACTAGGGGCACTTCAGCCACTACACTTTCCCAAATCAATATCTAAGAAGCAATTCATGAGGAACTCCATCTTAAGATCACAATGAGTCAAGCTAGAAGGACAAAACTAATTATTGTCAGAGAGGTTCAAGGCAACTGTGACCAAGAATATAAGAAATTATTTGATTACAGATTAGAGCTACTGAAGAAGAATCCAACTTTTACATTCGAGAGTGATGCAAGGAGGCCTACGCTAGATTCTAAACCTGTTTTGTTATGCTTTTATGTCTGCTTTGCTGCATTGAGAGAAGGGTTTATAGTTGGTTGTAGACCAATACTTGGTCTAGATTGTGCATTTTTAAAAGGTCCTTGCAAGGGTCAATTACTAACTGCAGTTGGAAGGGATGCAAATAATCAAATGTATCCAGTTGCTTGGGCCATTGTGGAGGGTGAAAGCACATGGACATGGTTATTGGAGTTTTTGAATCATGATCTCAAAATTGGTGATGGAGAATATTATACTTTTGTATCTGATCAACAAAAGGTAAATTTTTATGGTTTATTGATGAATTATATACTTGTGCAAGCAATGATTAAAGAAAGTAATTTATCTTTTTCCATTTTGTAGGGGATGATTAATGTTATCCAGAATTTGTTCCCAAAAGCACATCATAAAAGATGTGCTCAACATATTTATCCAAATTTAGAAAGGAACACAAGGGTAAGGCATTGCAAAGATGGTTTTGGATCACTGCCAAATCAACAAATGAAGCTGAATTTAAGAGGAATCTTGAGGAGCTTAGTAAATTGAAGCCTGCAACAAAAGACTATGTGGTGAAGCTGGACCCAAAATTCTAGTGCAAGGCATTTTTTGATACCTATGCAAGATGCGATGTAGTTGACAAGAACATGACTGAAACTTTCAATGGTTTCATTCTAGATGCAAGGCATAAGGGTCCTCTCTCACTGCTAGAGGATCTTAGAAGAAAGTGCAGCAAAAAGAACATTGGAAAGTTGGAGTTTGCTAATAAACAGTTCAAAGGTGAATTTGGCCCAAAGATTTGGGAGAAGATTGAAGACCATAGAGACAAAATGTCATGATGCCATATAAAATCACAAGCAAGATGGCATTATGCAGTACAAGAACGACCATATTCCTTTCTAATCAATCTTTGGGACCAAACTTGTAGTTGTAGAGTTTGGCAACTCAATGGTATTCCCTGTAGACATAGAATGCTTGTCATCCAGCATAGGCATAAGAACTATGAAGATTATATGCACCCATGTTATAGAAAGCAAGCCTACATTGATACATACAAACATGAAATAATTCCTATTGATGGAATGCAATTGTGGGCTGATTCAGGGATGACTAAAGTTGATCCTCCAATTCCAAAAAACACACTGGGAAGGCCTAAGAAAAAGAGACGTTTAGAAGAATGGGAAAACACTAGTGGATCAACCTTGAGTAGAAAGGGAAGGGTAATGACTTGTCAAGTATGCTTCAAAAAGGGTCACAACTCAAGATAATGTCTAAAAAAAATCCAAAAAATTGTTGTAAGTTCCAAACCATTTTTTGTTTATTATTGTCTTAATTTTTATTATGTAAAAAATTAATTTGAGTTGTGTGAATTATGTCATAGGTTGAAGATTCTTCAATAAATGCTCAAAATCAAGTTCCATTAGATGTCCAACCAGCTGCTAATGTTCAACCAGATTCTAATGTTCAACCAGATTCTAATGTTCAAGCTCTTCTTAGTGTTCAACAAGTTACTGATGTTCCAGCTCCTGTTATTATTGAATCACATTATGATATTCAATTTCCAGTAGGTGCTCAACAAAATTCTGATGTCCAACCAACTTCAATAGCTTTTGAGTCAACTGTAATAGTTTTGAAAAAAAACCTTCAAGGAAAAAACAAATTGCAAAGAGTGTTGAATTGAGTAAAATACCTAAAGAGTTTAGGAGAACAAGTAGGTCAAGGGTGAAAAAGAGTACTCCAATAGTTGAAGATGGGGTGAACAACTCTTTCAACATTAATAAGAATGCTACTATAAGCAATACTACTAAATCACAGAAAGAAAAATGGGGAAAATGTCCTAATATTTATGTTTTATTTCATGATTTTACTAGTTTTAATGACTTTTAGACTCTCTTTTTTTCTTACCATTTGCCTCACAAATTTGGGTGTAGGGTGTTGCAAATCAAAAGAAAAAGCAAGCCAAAACTAAGAAAAATGAAGCTCCTGCAATGACTTACAATTTGTCCAGTTGAATGCTGCTATTTTTAGCTTAGATACTAGCAACTTACAAAGTGTTATGAGGACTACCACAGTAAGCATGGAAGAAAATATGCTGTCTAGCCAACCACATCAACCAATTACAAGACAAAGCATCACATACCAATAGTTAGATGTGGGTGCTATTCATGTAATTTGAAATTTTGAATAGCATCTATTTTAAACTCTTTGTTTATATTTATGTTTTATTTCATATATTTAATTTGTGTAGAGTTGCTATTATTTGTAGGTTGAAAGATGTGCAAGATAAGGGCCACAAAACAAACAAGGTTGGATCAAATGGAGGCTGTTGATTGGGGATCTTTATTGCAAGAAATCAGTGAAGACATGGTGGAGATGCTTGTAATTGAAGGGTGATGACTTGTTTTGTTCATTCTATGAATTGCTACTTTAATTTTGAGGATGCTAATTTTTGGGATTTTATGGTGTGAATGCTTGCTATAAATATATATATATATATACACATATATATTGTATATTCTGAATGCTAGTTTATGGTAGGCACTATTAGGGCATGTAAGTGCTTATAATGCACTGTAAATACATGTTTAGATTTGGACACAGTGAAGATAGATGGAAATGCTTTTAATGTGTAATAGGTGTTTTTTTGTTTAGTTATGCCCTGTACTAGCAGTAAAAATTGTCATGAGCAATCATTTTTTTTTTTTTGGTTAAGTATTGCTCTGTATAAGCATTCACTGAAATGAATAACCCTATTTTTCTGTTAAGTTATGCCCTATATATGCTCAAAACATTAACATATTTTGCAAGTAAACCACTTCCAAAAAAGTTATACTTCATTCACAAGCTGATCAATTACAACAGGAGTCATATATTTACAACAAGTAATCATATAATTACAAAAGTAGTCCTGCACCACATTATATTGCACTTGCTCATCACCTATTACAAAAGCAGACTATGACTAATTATCCTGCAAATTTAATTGCCAAAAAAGCAATTATGAAGATACAACAAATTAAACACTTTTTCAGCTTCAAATAACTTGAAGCAACTGTCTCAATCCCACTGAATTTGTTTTCCATTTCACAGTTCAAATTCTCCAAACCATCAATCTCTCTATGCAGGTCCAGGTTCTCCTTTTTCAATTGTAAAATCTCATTCATCAATGTTTGCTTTTTATCCTAGCAATATGTTATCCAAAACTTAAGTTGAGGATCAAGTCATCATCAAACCAAATGAAAAAATTGCAACCAGATTCAATTCACAGGGATCATTACACAACAGTCCACAAGTATCGCCAGCTTCCTCACCATCTTTCTACAAGAATAAAAAAACAATAAAAACAATAATAAAACAATTAAAAAAACCTAACCAAAAACAATCTTAACCAAAAATAAATAAAAATAAAAAACCAGATTCCTCATTAAAGTAGAGTACAACAAACTGATCAAAGACCACAACAAAAATAACCAAACCAAAGGGAAGATATTTGAGCAGAGCAGTATAGAGAAGGATTAACATTAATATATAAACAAATTGCTCAAAGGCCCACATTTGCACAATCAAAAACAAAAAAACAAGCTTTATCGAAAATTTTGGACATCCCCAAAACCTACGTCCATAGTTCAATTGAGTCATAGCCGTTCTTTTAATTGGTTGAAGACCACATTTGCAAAGACCCACAAACTCGCCACATGCTGGCTTTGGTGATTGGGTGAATAAAACCAAGGAAGATGATAGGACCAGAAATTAGAAATAGGAATTAGAGAAGAATAATTGAACTAGAGGGGAGAATTAAGGGGGAAAGAAGAAGAACCAGGGAGGGAGAGAGGGCCTATTTTGATTGTATCGAAAGATCAAATGATTGAAGAGAAAGAAGAATTTCGAGCAACTAGAGCAACTAGGGTTCTTGGTGCAAGCGAATGGAGGCAACAGGGGAAAATGTTGACAAAGAATTTGGGGCTTGATGGCGTTAAGGTTTCTGCAAATGGGGGAAATTTAGGGAAAATGTCGAGGGAGAAAGGAAAGATACAAAAAGATGATTGCCAAATTTAAAAGAAGAAAACGTGGTTTTATCAAGGCAAAGTGATCCCTATTCTTGCACAAGTGGCATCACATGTGGCAGCATATGTGGAAAAAAAAAAAGAACAAATGAGTTTAATTGCTGACCATTTAGGAGTTAACGGTCAACAGTGACCGTTTAGGACTTAACGGTCAGCAATGACAACAACATGAACGTCGTCAAGAAAGGGACGACAACAAACAGTAAAAGAGAAGTAGAGGGATGACGTTTGGATCTTTGGTAGAGTAAAGGAATGACAACCAAAGTTTTAAAAATCAAACCAGATTGGCCGGTCAAACCAATCGGACTGACACCCGGTATCATAAACGGGTCGGCTAAGTGCTTGGAGTTGGTAAAGAGGTTGAATCGTTCAAAGTTGATAAAACCACTTAAGCCGGTGTAAACCATTAAACCGTTCAACTGGACGGTTTAAAATTCTTGAAACACTTCCTTTAGCTTTGCATCCTCCAAGGCTCGAGCACAATACTTCAAAGGAATTTTAAGTCACTTCCACCACTAGGACATGACCCATTTGATTGAAAAGGGCTTAAACTTTTATTTATTTTACTTTTAGGAAGAATAGAATTACTTTTCACCCCAATCCAACTTTGAAAATTAATATAATATTTATCTATTTGGTATTTTAAATATACAAATTAAATATGTAGTAATATAATTTTTTATAATTAATTTATATAAAAAATTATAAAACTTGATATTTATTTCAACATTATTGACACATGAAATAATTTTAATTAGTTAATTAATTAATTTAAAGTCAATTTTTATAATTTTTTTATATAAATTAATTAAGAAAGTAACATAT